ATATAAACCTTTCCTTGACTTTTTACAATAATGAACTAATACTATATTTGTCCTTCTGTGATTGACTTATTTCACTCAGCATAATGTCCTCCAAGTTTATCCATGTTATGCGGTGTTTTGCAGATTCTACATTATTCTTTAGGGTTGCATAATAATCCGTTGTGTGTGTGTGCCGCAATTTGGTTATCCATTCTTCTGTTGATGTGCACATAGGTTGTTTCCATCTTTTTGCTATTGTAAATAGTGCTGAGATGAACATGGGTGTGCATATATCTGTTCTTGTCCTGGCTCTCAGTTCTTTAGGATATATACGTAATAATGGGATTGCTGGGTCAAATGGTATTTCTAATTCCATTTTTTTAAGGAATCACCATATTGTTTTCCACAGTGGTTGTATCATTTTACTGTCCTACCATCAGTGTATGAGAATCCCAATCTCTCCACGTCCTTGCCAGCATTTGTTATTTTCTGTCTTGTTGAACTTTGCCATTAGTGCTGGGGTAAGATGGTATCTCATTGTTGTTTTGATTTGCATCTCTCTGATAGCTAATGATCATGAACATTTCTTCATGTATTTGCTGGACACCTGAATATCCTCTTTGGTGAAGTGTCCATTCATGTCTTCTGCCCATTTTTTAATTGGATTGTTAATATTTTTGTTGTTGAGGTGTTGGAATTTTCTATAAATTTTAGAGATAAGTCCCTTGTCAGATGTGTGATTATCGAGAAGTATGAATTTGTTGCTGTCATTTTGTTATGTGCTTTTTCGTGGTATTGATTATCTTTGTTCCATATAATTTTCTGTGCTGAGCTCATTTTCTTTATGAATCATGTTACCAGTTCTTCTGTTGCTATTGTTTTAGTATTTGCTAAATATTTGTACTGGTTCTCTTTTTTTATTTTGATGTGAAATGTTATCACTTTTCTTTGAGGTTACCCTATGATTTATAATTTCTTTCCAAGTTTAGAACAGTCCATTCTATCTTGTATTTGTCTTGACTTCCCTACCATCTAGAAGTTCTGTAACAACATGGTTTTTTCCTTCTTTTTGGTTTGTAGTTGTCTTCATTTGTCAATTGATGTTTCTGTTACCCTGTTTACAATCTTGTAAGCTTATTTACTTTGGATACTTTCAAAATTGTGTTGGTTTCTGGGATATGTCATCATGTGTATTAATCGTTGGTTGTTGTTTGCTGTTTTGGTTCTCTGTCCAAAGAACTTCCTTTAGCATCTCTTGTAACATTGATCTGTTTTTAACAAATTCCTTTAATTTCTGCTTATCTAGCAGTGTCCTAATTTCACCATCATATTTGAGGGACAAATTTGCTGGGTATATAATTCATTGTTGGAAATGTTTCTCTTTCAGGGTTTTATATATACCTTCTCACTGTCTTCTCCACTGCATAGTTCCAGCTGAGAAATTCAAGCTGATTCTTACTGGTTGCCCCTTGTAGATACCTTTTTGTTTTTCCCGTACTGCTTTCAGGATTCTTTCTTTGTCTTTAGTTTTGGTGAGTTTGATGATAATATGTCTAGGTGATTTTCTTTTGGGGTCTATCTTGTTTGGGGTTTGTTGGACTTCTTGAATGGATATATTCTCATCTTTTATCATACCAGGGAAATTCTCTTCCAACAAATCTTCAACAATTATTTCTGTGGGTTTATTTGTTTCTTCTTGTTCAGGACCTCTGATTACATGTAGCTTACTCTTTTTTATGGTGTCCCACATGAACATTAGGATTTCTTCATTTTGTTTTTATCTTTTTTCTGATTGTTCCCTCTCCAAAGAAGTATTGAGGTATTTGTCTTCAATCTCACTAATTCTGCCTTCCATTGATTCAATTCTACTCCTTTACCCATTCAATGTGTTATATATTTCTCAAAATTTAGTATTAATCATCTGCATTTGTCTGTTTACTTTGCATCATTTCTAATTTTTCATTTATTTTGTCATTTTGTTCTTGTACAGTCTTTCAAAATTTTTCTAGAGTTTGCTCTGTGTTTTCCTCAATTTTGTCAGTGTTTTCCTTGATCTGTTTCTCAATTTGTTGAAGGTACCTAAATATAATTATTTTGAATTCCTTATCAGGGAGTTCCAATGCTACATCTTCCTCAGGGATATGTTTTGGGTCTGTATCCTGGTGCCTTGTTTCTCTTGCTTTATCTTGTTTCTTTGTGTAGACTGTGATGCTCTCTTGTCTCCAAGGCATTGTGACATTATTGTGTTTATATTTAATTGGAGTGACTTGCCCATGATTTTTATTTTCTTTGTATGTTATCTTTGCAAGCAGGGTACTGTGCTATGCTCCTCTAGTCACTAGTTGGCAGCACTTATACACTCACAGCCTGTCTTCTTTCCTGTTATCTGCCTTCCATATGTCCCTGCTGTTGCTGGCAAATGGAGCCTATTCTTAGATCCCTGGAATCCAAATGATAATGCTGTTATCATAAAATTCAAAATGGCTGCCACTTGTAAACATTCAATTGGCTGTGCCCTCGGTCACCTTAAAAATCCAAATGGCCACTACCCGTAAACAATCAAACTGACTATACTTTCCGGATAGCCAAAAGTCCACAGTTCAGGTTGTCTTCCTCATTGCTATTTCCTGTCCTAGTCATAGGCCTGATAATGTAGTGCCTGAGTCATTTGACTGTTAACCATAAGGGTGGCAGTTCAAACACACAAGCCATTCTTTGGAAGGAAGATGGGGCAATCTACTTCCATAGTGATATCGCCTCGGGAACCCAAGGAGGGGTCTCTATGAGTCGGGTCTGACTTGACAGCACATAACAACAACAACAACAACAGTCAGAGGCCACCAGCACAGTCATCCCTGCAGCCCTTGGCAACCAAGGTTGATCTTTAGGTCAATTCTCAGGTCCCAAGACCACTTGGAAATATTCAGACTGTTAGTCCTCTCAGAGTAGCTGACAGTCCACTGCTCTGACAATTTCCATACCCACTGTTTTTGTTCTGTTTTTTCTACTAGTTAGTGCCTTATCCACTTCTGTATGCTTCCTTTCAAAGTTCAGGGCTCCAGGATTATCTTCTGTATCTCTGACAATTGGTTTCTCTTTTCTTTGTTGAAGAGGGTCTCTGGAGCTTGTCTCCTATTCCACTATCTTACAGGAAGTCGCCTGTTGATATATTTTGATTCTATGGAGTCTCATGAGATTAAAAGCATCTCGAAACTGACTACTTCCAAATGTGTATCACAACTTAGAATTTTGAATGACAGACTTTCCTGTCAAAATTTCTATTTGGCTTCTGTCATTGGATATCTTAATTGATGAAATCACTCAGCATATCTGTAAAAATGGCCAAGGTGGCATTAGAGTTCCTCTAACTTCAGTGGGGAAAGAGAATCACCATCAATATCAACTCAAGGCTGATCCTATAAGGTGGAGGTCAAACATGCCTCCACCCATTAACCTTTCTACAAAATCTGACTCAGCCATCTCTCCCTCATCGCTCTCTACTTCTCTCCTAGGTTCAATAATTCTTAACAATTTGCACAAAACTCACAAGCAGTACTAACAATTAAGGGATTTGTTAGGGAAGTAGCAGGTAACAACTCAGGAATAGGATCAACAGGGTTCAGCTTGAGATCAGGATCAAGAAGCACGTAGACAAAGCCTCCCTTCTTTAGTGCAGTGCAGCTTTCTCAGCTCCTCTTGACTATGCAGGGCTCCTCTTGATCCTCTGAAGAGGAGCTTCTCTCATCCCCCTTAAGACAGGCCTCTTATCTTGGCTTTCTGCCCTGGTGGGGCCTGACCTCTGCCCTGCTTTGGCAAGTGTTACAATGCTCTTTTACTTTCACTGATAAGTGCTCAGAGGCACCTGATTATGTCAGCAAGCCTCCTGCCCAAAGGTACTTGGTTCTTTTTGTCATAGTTCAGGGAACCTAGCTCCACTGAGAAGTGACAGAGGCATCCCACTTCACTAGCATTTCTCTTGCCCAAAGGTGCTCACCCCTTGCTCCATGGGTTGACAAGCCCACTGTAACCGCCTTTCTCCATGATTGGGAAGCCCACTGTGCCATCTGGAGTAGTCTCATGGTCATGTTGCTGCTGTTTCTCTGCCATTGTTTTCATTGCTTCTCCCTACCTTGTGCCTTCTCTAATGTTTAGCTGTCTCTGTCTCTTTGGTCTATGAAGTTCTCACTTCAATGACTCTGGGTCCAAAGGATGACTCTACTTCAATTCTTCTTTCTTAATGGCAGTAAGGTCCCCTCTCCACTTCAGGGTTTGGTTCTGTTTAAGTCTAACAGCATGGCAGTAGAATTACCTGTACCTTATTTGCATGATCCCACCCCCACAAGGTTATATTTCCAGTAATATATCAGAGAGTTTCATTGCTATTCCAAAGAAAGTTGATTCAATACCATGTGGACATTTTTGAACAGTATCAATATACAGGCAAATAAAATCTTGCTGAAGATTATTAAAAAATGGTTACAGCAGTTTATTGATAGGGAACTACCAGAAATGCAAGCTGGATTTACAAGAGGACTTGGAATGAGGGATATCATTGCTGATGTCAGATGGATCTTGGCTGAAGACAAATATCAGACAGATGTTTACTTGTGTTTTATTGACTATGCAAAAACATTGGACTGTGTGGATCAAAACAAATTATAGTTAACATTGATAAGAATGGGAATTCCAGAATACTTAATTGTGCTCATGTGGAACCTGTACATAGACAAGGGGACTGTCATTTGAACAGGACAGGGGATAGTGCATGGTTTAAAATCAGGAAGGAAGCACATCATGGTTATATCCTTCACAATACTTATTTAATCTGTATGCTGAGCAAGTAATCCAAGAAGCTGGACTATATGAAGAAGAATGTGGCATCAGGATTGGAGGAATACTCATTAACAACCTACAGTAAGCAGATGACACAACTTTGCTTGCTCAAAGTGAAGATGACTTAAAGCACTTAGTGATGAAAATTGAAGACTATAGTGTGTAGTATGGATTAAACCTCAACATAAAGAAAACCAGAATCTTCACAACTGGACCAATAAACAGCATCATGATAAATGGAAAAAAATATTGAAGTTGTCAAGGATTTCATATTATTTGGTTCCACAATCAACACCAACTGAAGCAGCAGTCAACAAATCAAACATTGTATTGCACTGGTCAAATCTGCTACACAAAACCTCTTTCAAGTGTTGGAGAGCAAAGATATCTCTTTGATGACTAAGGTGCACCTGACTCAAGCCATGGTATTTTCAGTTGCCTCATATGCATATGAAAGCTGGACAATGAATAAGGAAGACTGAAGAAGAGTTGATGCTTTTGAGTTGTGTTGGTAAAGAATTACTGAAAGTACCATGAACTGTCGAAATGTGAACAAATCTGCCCTAAAAGTGGAGCCAGAATGTTCCTTGGAAGTGAGAATGGCCAGGCTTCGTCTGACTCACTATGGTCATGTTGTCAGGAGGGACCAGTCTCTGGAGAAGGATATCACACTTGCTGAAGTGGAGTATCAGCGAAAAAGGGGAAGGCCTTCAACAAGATGGATTGACACAGTGACTGCAATGATGAGCGCAGGAATAACAAGGATTGTGCGGCTGGTACAGGAGCAGGCAGTGTTTCGTTCTATTGTACACAGGGTCATTATGAGTCAGAGCTGACTCAACGGCACCTAAAACATCAACAATAATACCCCCAGAAAGGTGCCATACACCCTAATTGCATTATCAGCAAGCTGCCCAATCCCCTCAATAGACCACAAGCACAATATTAATATAGTCCCACCCAATCATAGAATTTAGAGTTACAAGGCAGTGCATAGCTAAAAGGACCATATTAAGTAACTCACTGCACTGTAATATCCAAAACTGAGCTCCTGATATATTCCCTACCTTCAAGATACATTGCATAGTTTCCTGTTCTATGATTTGATGACTTCATTCTTCCAGTTGCTTAGTCTACACATCTTGCAGTTACCCATCTTTGACTTCTTTCTCACGCCCCATACTGAAAGCATTCGTAAATCTCTTTAGTGCTGCCTTCCAGCTTTCCTGGTCTCCCCATTGTTCTTTGAGATTATAGCTTTCTTAGTTTTTCTAGGTCAATTAACATTCCTTCATCTACAGATCTTGTTACAAGACTGTGTTGATGCATTAGCCGATCTCGACTCCAAAAGTGTCCTTTGGATTTGTGTCTTTTAAAATTTTCTTCCTTTATGCTTTATATTCCCTTATCTCTTCATTGGAGTTAAAGATGGAAAGAAAATAAATATTTGTGGTCAGTCTGTCATGTTTAACTTGAAGTCTACAATATTTATGTCTATGGTGTAGGAAGATGAGCAGAATTTTAAAGAGATGATTGAGACAGAATATAGGATATATTTCCAGCTGTTAAATGAAGAGATTGAGAGGAGTCTCCTGAGACTGCAAGAGTGCGTATTCAACTTAGACATGAAAGAAGACAGTCTGAATCAACTAATCAAGTTAGGCACAGAGCTACAGGAGAAGTCCCAAAAAATACTACAGGTAAGATGTTGAAAAGCTTTTCTTCACAATATTTGAGAAGTGAGAGACAGAAGAGCTGAACATTGTGCCAATTTTAGAATAAGATATCCAATAACAACTACAGATGTATTAAAATAATGTATATTTCTACACAGCAATGCTCTTTCTCTGAAATTTACCTTGTAAATGTTTTTATTGTTGTTGTTGTTGTTATTTGCCATCAAGTCGGCCCCGACTCATATAGGGGTGTTTAAAAGAAATGGGTAAGATAACACTGTAAAACTAAGTTTTAGCATAGAGCCATGATTCAGAGGTAGTCTTTGAAGGCAGATTGGTGAAGTTCGTAACTATGTTCTGCTATTTCTTAGCTCCTAGGTGGTCTTGGACCAGTTGTTTATCCTCTGACTCTGTTTTAAGTGCCGTTTCCTTAATTGTAAACCATGGGTAATAATGGAACCTAGTTGATAATATTGTTTTATATATTGAGTGAGATAATCTATATAAAACTTATTAAATAGTATCTTATACATATTCAGTGCTCAGTAAGATCAGTATAATTTTTAATTTATTGATGGCAAGAGATTAGATACCATCAGTATGGGACTTATAAAATAAATTGTTATATATAATACAATGGAATACTCTTCAGCCTTTAAAAAAGCCAACATGGCTCTATGTATATGGATAGGAATTACTCCCTCAGAGCATATTATTTACTAAGAACAGAGCAAATTGGCAGATCAATGATATATGATATCATTAGTAATTTTTAAGAAAATAATAACATGAAGATAGATTTCATGTGCCTAGGTGGAGTATCTTTGTAAGTGAGAAGAAAATTGCTATCAGTGGCTTGTCTAATCATTGAGTTCTTTGAATGCCATCAAGTCAGTTAGTTTGTGTTATTGATTGAATTGAATTGATAATTATAATCAAGTTTAATTTTAATGACTCAATTTAATGAAGGAAATAGGAAACGTTGTGAATAAAATGCCATAGCAATAAACATGTAATCTGTTTGAGGCTCAGATTTTATCTGAATAAGTGGAATGCATGCACACATATCCACATCAACATCAACATATTAAGTGTCAAATAATCAGATTTCTATTGAGAGATATAGTGCTTGACACAGAGAGCTATCATGGCCTTACCTAAATAAATCTGTCTGTCTGTGCTAGTGGACATAAAAAATAGGTTTTTAAGGAAATGGTTGGATTAGAAAATAAGAGAAGTTTCTAGTTGTTGAATAGTAATCAGGAGATGGTTCTTCAGACACTGAGTATTTTGGCGAGAGAGAATGTGAATAAATTGAAGGAGAGTGAAGTCTGGCTCTTTGAACAGATCGGCAGTCTCCAAAGGGTCACTACAGAACTCAAGAAGAAGTGTGGGGAACCCGCCTTAACATTGCTCCAGGTATGACTTTGGAAAAACCTTCCATTATAGTCTTTGAGAAGTAGAAGTGAATGGTGCTCCTTAGGGGTCATTTCCAGGAAAAAAGAAAAAATAATCAACTAGCGTTCAAGCATATCTGAAGTCTGTGTAGCAATTTTCCAGTCACTGGAAAACTGAATTGCCATAAAATCACTGGATAATGTAGAGCTGCTTCATGATATGATTTCTCACCTTAGAATTATCAGTACGCACATGCACAAACTGCCATGAAGTCAGATCCAACTCATAGAGACCCCTCCTTGGGTTTCCAAGGTGGTATCACTAAGAAAGTAGATTGCCCATATCCCTAAATATGGTAAAAAGGTGGCTAGTCAAATTATGGTATAGCCATACAATAGAATATTCTGTAACCATTAGTGAAAAGGAATAAAGTTGCTCTATAGGCACTAAACGGGAGCTCTGGTAGCATAGTGGCTAAGACACTTGCCTGCTAACCAGAGGGCTGGCGGTTCAAACCCACCAGCCACTCCTCGGAAGGAAGGTTGGGCAATCCTACTTCCGTAGTGATACTGCCTCGGAAACCCAAGGAGGGGT